TTCATTGCTATTATCCAGAAATTTCTGTGTGTTGCTTTTATATGCTGCAACTTTGATCAACTCACTTGTTGGTTTTCTTTTCTTTTTTTTATAGACTCTGTAGTATTTTTATATCTAGGCAATCATGCCATTTAAAGACAATTTTGTTTCCACTTTGGGTTATTATCATTTTTCCTTGATTATGCACTGGCTATAGCCACCTTTATAAATGTTGAATTAGTCATAGCTTCCCATTCTTCTGTCTTTGATGGTGTATGCTTCCTGCAAGCACCACTTTAGCTGCATCTCACAAATTTTGAAGCGTGTGTTTTCATTTTCATTCATTTCCAAATACTTCCTACTTTTCCTTTTTATTTCTTCTTTGGGCCATAGGTTATTTTAAAGTGTGTTATTTAGTTTCCAAGTTATTGCAGATTTCCCAGAAATCTCTCCACTATTTATTGTTAATTTAATTCTATTATGGTCATTATGTGGGTCCTTGGGTGGCACAAATGGTTAAATGGTTGGCTTCCAACCAAAGGCTCCTTGGGAGATGGGCCATTATGAAAGCCATTATAAGCCTTTAGTGCTAAATACTTCCTGTAATCTTGCTTTAGCTGCATCCTGCAAATTTTACAACATGTATTTTCACTTACTCAAAATGTTTCTTGCTAGAAGGTCAAAGTCTTGAAAACCCTATGAAGCAGTTACATGCTGCACACGTGTGGTCACCATGTGTTGGAATTGACTTGACAGCAACTAACAGTATTTAGAACATCTTTTCTATTACTTTAGTTCATTTGGATTTATTGTAACATTTCATCAGCCAGAATATATATGATCTTCCTTGAAAATTTATTTCTATATATGAAAAGAATGTATGTTCTGTCTGCTGTTGTTGGATTGAGAGTTCTATAGATATGATTTAAGTGAAGTTGTCACATTTTACCCTCTTAGAAAATCTGAATCCTCTCCTCAATGCCTATGAATTATAATGTTTTGCACTCTGGCTGGTGGGATTATGGATTCTTTCCAGCTCTGTTTGAGATTCAGAAGTTGCTTCCTTTATTCCTTCCACATGGTTCTGACTCCTTCTCTCAGGTGGTTCCTTCCCATAAATGCTTCATTCAAAAACTCATGTGAAGGGAGCTCTGGTGGCCTAGTGGCAAGAAGTTGTACTGCAATCCCAGAGGCGTGTGGTTCGAATCCACCAAATGCTGTGCTGGAGAAGGAGGGACAATCTCCTCCTGTACCAGTCAGATCCAATTTGATGGTTGTTGTTGTTGTTAAGTGCCGTTGAGTCCCAGGCAACTCATAGCGACCCTATGAAGGAGAGTCCTCGACGCTTGGGTGCCTTTCATCCTCTCTCCAGATTCATAGGGTTACTGGAGGCAAGCTATTACGGAAGTGGATGCCACTCCTCCTTCCATGCTTGTTTAATCGGGGAGCTCCCCAACTGTGTGTGGTACACACACACAAAATAATACAATAATCTTTTAAAAAAATAAAATAATTTAAAAGCGATGTATGATAGGGTATTATGGTTATTGCAAGAGTCCACAATTAAGGTTGCATAATGGAATGTACTTGGGGCGGTGGGTGGGAGGGGTGCCGGGGGATTGTGTACCAGGGAGGGAGTCTTTCTTTTAATTTTGAAAGAGAGGAGTGAACTGGGGCGGGGGACGGGGGGAGAGGGCTGGGCGGGTAGAGAAGTGCAGCAATGAATGAATAGAAATCCAAATTCTCTGTAAATAGTCATTAAAATTGTTTTAAAAAACCACCAAAACTCATGCGAATGATCTAGATCTCTCCTCTGTATGACTTTCTCCTCTCTAGTACATTTCACTGCAAACTCTAGTTGCCTTGGCCGTTCCTACACACTACCAGACCCATCTTCTTTGTTCTAAGGCCTGGCTACTTTTTTGCAGGCAACAGATTGAAGCAATCGTGTGACTGACTTCGATTGTCCTTTACTGCTCAGGATCACCACCCTTCCTTGCATTTATTAATTGGCCCAGTGGTTAAATGCTCAGCTGCTAAGGGAAAGGTTATTGGATCAAACAACAGTTGCTCAGCTTTTGTAATGATTTACAAAATTCTTCCTACTAAGTAACAGACTTTCAACTAACCCATAGGCCAACGAAAAATACAAAGGAAAAGTAAGAAGTATTTTGAAACCATTGGTTTTAATTTAATGAAATAAAGCTCAGAAACAAGGAATAAAACAAAGACAACAACACAGCCCAGAAACAAGAACGAAAAGAAAGAAAGAAAGAAAGAAAACTCTTTCGTTCTAGAAGGTTGCTCTGAGATTGGGTTGACTTGATAGCAGTGAGTGAGTTAAATATAATTCATATTTTAAAGTTCTTGATGTGTTTCCAAAGAGTACTTGCCTTAACCTTCACCCACTGGGAAAATTTCTTCTCTTTATTCTTGGAAAAAGTTTTAAGGAACTTTCTCTGAGTTTGTGGAAATAGATCCTCTCAAAGGTACTGCATATTGACTCCAGGGCACTCTAAAAACTACCAAAATAGCAATTTCTCTCTGGTTTATGAAATGGAACTGATTGATGAGTAGGACAAAGAAGTTACTTGTCAAGCTAGCTTAAAAGTTGTCTTTTACCAAGACCTTGTTAATGTCTTCAGTAAAAGCCCCCCAGTTCTGTACCTTAGGGTATATTTCGTAAGAATTTTAATCCATGGCCACTTCCCAATTCATAAAACTTAAAAAGTATAGTGACTGCAGTTTCCTTTTTGAGACACTTTCAGTGAGAAGACACAAGAGAACTTGATCTTCATTAGTATAATTTTGCTGCAAAGTACTTTTTTTTCTGAAGCCACTCTTTTCGCTGAATTTGTGTAGCACCTTTTATTTGACCTGCACATATCATTTACTAGAATATCCGTTTTCAGTTCGAATTAGTAGGCATGGCATTATATATTTGTGTTAGGCAAAACCATCTCGTGTATCTGAGATGTGAAGTCTTTCAAGACGGTTCTATATTATCTAGCTAACTATCAAGTGACCTAGCTAGCAGTCAGGCAAATTCTGAAAGTTTGATCTCGCCTTTCACGAAGATGGCGCTGAAAGCGAAGAAGGAAGCCCCTGCCCCTCCCAAAACTGAAGCCAAAGCAAAGGCATTGAAGGCCAAGAAGGCAGTCCTGAAGGGCGTCCACAGCCAAAAAAAAAGAAG